ACTGCGAGATGGAAGGGAACCAAGATTAGCCGCGGTTATGTAGGATTCATTCCTTCGAGAGCGTTGCAAAACAAATTAAGATTTTTTTGTTTCTTCTAATGAGAAATAGAGCTCACTGACCATTGGATTTTTATAAATATATATGGTGGCTTTTTTTTAAGGACTTCAACTAAAGTCATCTCATATTCCTACTTCTTTGTGGTTAGTGATTCAGAAAATATTGAAATAACAGGATCAATCTGACATCCCGGTGTTGTATCGAATTCTCCAACTCGTCGAGACCTCCAACTCCCGTCAGTGCGAAGTATCAAGAAAAGTATCAAGCTCTACAATCTGCAGCAGTGCGCCTGCGCGGGCACCCGGTGCCATAAGCACCGACAGAAATTGGAGAACAGAGATCATAATATTCCCCCTGACAATGCCTTCATCTGCCACCATCTTTGTCCAGGCATCATCCAAGGTCCGTATCTACCTCCTGGACTGAGATGTTGGCTCAGAGATGACACAATCCTAGTGCTTGTGCAGTTCTTTTACAAATGTCTGACACCGATCAGCCTGTGCAGCAGCCTCTCACCTTGTGATTGTTACAAAGTTACAATGTTGCAGTTTGATTCCTGCTTCCTCCTGCCTGCAGCAGATGACACCATCATCTCAGCCTAGGCAAAGTCACTGCCGAGGCTCAAAGGTGGCTTTTTAATGATAAAAGGCAGACCCTGTATTGCAGTGGTTCTCAACCTTTCTAGTGCCGGGGACCCCATGGTAACATTTGCCAAGTTGTGGTGACCCCCAACGGTAAAATCTAGGGATGACGCGGCTGCTGCAGCGACATCTGGCGGCGTGGCGGGAGAACTGACACTGCTGCGCTAGGAGAGGGCTGAGGAGGACTCTCACCTAGCACAGCAGAAATCACACAGCGACCCACAGGTTAAGAACCACTGGCGTACGCCGTCAGAATAAAATAAAAAACCACCATAGGAATGCATAGCTAGATTCCTATTGGCTATTTAACTTTGCAATAGCCAATAGCAAACTAGCTATTACACCCGCCCTCGGCTGCTGTCAATCACTAGAAGAGGACCTAATGGAGAACTTCAGGTCCCCCTCTGCTGATTGGCAGCAGCAGAGGGCGGGTGCAATAGCTAGTTTGCTATTGCAAAGTAAAATAGCCAATAGGAATATAGCTATGCATTCCTAGGGTGGGGGGTTTTTCTGACTTACGGCGGCTGGCGGCCCCCGATGTCAGAAAGGTTTACTCTGCTCGAGTAAACCTTTCCAGGAGAAAGTGTTTCTCTCCCGGGCGGCCGGGAGCCACTATCTAATAACCGGAGACTCCTGGGCGACCCCTGGCAAATCGTCATTCGACCCCGGACGGGGTTGCGACCCACAGGTTGAGAACCGGTGCTGTAGGGGATAAATGATACTGTTGCCTGATACTGTGACATTTCAGAAACGTATATATGCAAACTTAAAGAGTTACTGACAGCTCCACTTTTAGTAAACTCTTTTTTTTTTTAAGAAGTGTTCAAAGGAGCCATACCTACTAATTAAGCTCTATGCATAAATAAGGGGTTCTCCTGAGTTTTAGAGAACTCTGGGTAAAGAAAAAATGTACCCCATACTGCAAGGTTTGAGTGCTTATTTTGTCTCGGGGGGGCTCAAATAAAGCCAATATACTTACAGGATCCTCAGTCCCGCCCCGCTAACCTCTCACCCCCTCCGCTCCGGCTGTGCGATGTGTGATTCCTCGCGTCTAATGCAAGTCAGTGGACCTGCATCAGGTGTGATGATGTCAGCGGTCCTTAGACCTCCAGAGCTTGGGGGAGAAGAGGCCATCTGGACTGGTCCAGCAGGCCAGCGGGACCGAGAATCACGTGAATGTATCTGCTTTTTTTTAGCTCCCTAGACAATACGAGCAGTTAACCCTTGCAGCGCGGAGGTAGCCCCACTGCAAGAAAAAGTTTTTAAACTCGGAGTTCTTTAAATACTCATTCCTATTTCCTCTAAAATGCAGAGAATATAAAATAATTATAGTAGGACAATACCACCCAAAGAAAGTCTTATGTGTCCTAAAATTCCTTCCTTCCTGTCTTCCTTCCTTACACAGCTCTTCCTATAGACCCCAATTATTTCTGACTTACAAACAACGGGCCTTCTACAGAAACAAGGTTTAAACTGTAAAATGACTTTGATTGGAATCTATTGATTTTGTCCTTTCTCGCCTGAGGCTGTTATGCTGTAGGAGTGTGTTAAAGAGAAGGTGGTGGAGCCTTCGAATATCTGACACAGAGCTGCAAATTAAATACACCTTCTGCAAAAGTTTCAGGCTTATGTAATTTGTAATTGAGGAAGCCAGCATGAGTTTAATGACCCCTTGCCAGCTGTAGAGTGGAGCCTGCCCGAGCTTTTGCTGAATGAGTAATATGGAGCACAAAGCCTTGAGTCCAGGTGAGCTATGACACAGAGGCTTGGGTTGTTTATTAAGTGTAAATATGTAAGAAACAGTAAGGGTTGCGAGGTTCATCCTTCAGGGGCCAGAAATATTTGGAGAATTGAGACTAGGAGACTTGGGGGGGGGGGGGGGGGGGAGATCACACGAATAATCTGAAAATGCTATACAGTGTGGATGTGAGGCTTCCAAATGAGCAGGACAGCAATTACAGATGCCAGTATAGACAGACAGACAGACATATTTTGGGATGGAAAGGATATTTATCCCTTTGATCTTCCAGCCAAGTCCAGATTTCAATTCTCATTTTTTTTCATTTTGTGAAGGGGGAGGATTTTTCAACCCCCATATATGAAGTAGTGGTAAATTTAGGGATGTACTGACTTTTTCCATGTGATAATTCTTCAGTTTTAATTCGATTATGATAATAAATACACCATATCATGGGGCTTTCGGACATGGACAAATGTTACTGGGCGTGTCATTTTAACAGATTAGTAGACTGGCGCATACACGGCTCTCAAATAGACACGGAGCTCATTAAATAGGCCATGTCCGTTATCCCCCTGCACTCCTCTCCTTGGATCTCATCCAAATTTCTTCAGCCCTCGATATCCCAACACCCATTGATTGGCCCAACTCTACACATATGCAAAATGGCATGTATGAGTCTTCACCTGACCACCTCTTCGGGCCCCCTCATACCTATTAGGAACAACCCAGATATCCCACCGGGACTCGCCTCTTCATTTCTTGAGGGTGCAACCTCAATAGACTTTTTGATTGGCATAGGCTCTTTTAAAGATAGGCAGACCCTTTTGGACACTTCTTTAATAATTACCCCTTTGGTCCTATTTGCAAGTATGCCATTTCCTTAATAATCTGACTACTCATCATCCATACAGTAGGGATCTCACCCTGATAGAATACATCTGCTCCTCGAAGTCCCCATAAAGACACCTGATGTCGGCTGTTTAACAGCTTCTCTTGACACCCATCAACCCATCACCGGACTGCTTGAAGGTGCTCTGGGAAGGGAATTAAGGTATCCAGTTTTCAGACCAAGAATGGGAAAATAAATACACCAAATGTTTTCATATGTCATTAGTTTGAGTATATCACATTTCTCTGTACGTGCTGTTTAAATGAAGACCTAATATTTGCTTGTTCAAATATCTTTAAAAAGCCAAATGTTTCCTTGGGGAGTACTTCCTTACCATATAACTCTGCTTTGCTTTCCGTGGCAAAATGGACGATGTAAAAAACAATCATCGAAATGTTAAAATTCACTTCTCAGCAGAGGATTAATTTTTACACCAGGGAACGTCTCAATCTCCAATAAAAACAATTTCTGTAAGGAGTCAATCTGTGCCACAAAATGGATTTCCCCCCACCAGCCAACATATTACTATTTTGGTAATGACTCTGCTCAGTAAATAATGGGCACTTATTTGTGTCACATAGGAAAATATTAACGAAATATTGCTCATAAAACTTTGTACGCTACAAGACAAAGGAGTGTACTTCTCTTCCGGCAATATCACTACAACTAAGACTCACATAAAGAATTGAACAACTTGTTCTACGGCCATGTAAGGAAATTTACCAAATTCAAAGTAAGCAAATGAAGAAAAAACACTCAAAGGATGAATACACTTGAAGTGCACATATCTTTCTTAGAACCACCTTTCTTCTGTTCATATTTTTGCAGCATAGAAACTTGTTGAAACTGTCCTAGATATGAAAGCCAAAGTTTTATGCAAACCTTGACCTTTTCTGCAAAAGTCAAGCTTGACTTCATCCATTCCAGCCTCCCTACTAGTCACTAAGATGGAAGGGTGGAGGATAAGACTTAGACTTCTTAGACTAAAGTCTTAGTTTAAGACCACCTTAGACTTCTAAGGGTGGAGCCAAGCTCGACTTTTACAGGAAAAGGGAAAATCTCTCTTAAGGCTGGCCATACACCAATCAGTTTTTTTCGTTCAACCCGGCACCTGTCAGAATACCCGATCAGAGCGGCCAGCTCATTGGCTGCTGGCTCTAAATGTACGAAGATTTTCCAGCTGGCTCCTTTGATCAGCTGATTGAGGAATGCTGGCTGAAAGGGAGCTGACAGCCCCACACTCTGTGCGATTTTCGGCCAGTACATTAAAAACCGCCCAGTGTATGGCACCTTTTCGGACATCACCGCACTTGCACTCCATTCAGTCCCTCTGCCGGATGGTAGGCGGGACATATATGATCTCCATTCGCGCATCCTGTCAAAGGATCTAAATGGATGACATGGATGTGCAGGAGGAACCATGCACAGCCATGCCGAATTAATATATACCTTAATATATAAACCTTGGGGAATCAGGTCTTACTTTCACCTACCCCCTAAAAACTTCAAACCAGTTTCAATGCCTTCCATCCCTCCCCGACTCTTTCACTGTATTTTTACGCTCTTTGCACCTATAGACTACAGTTATACACTTGTGTAAAATATGTACAATTATCATGTGGTGCCCTGTGCTGCAAATAAAACAAATTGTCATCTATGGTTTCATTTTAGGCAAACGTGAAGGGTATAAGCACTGCAACCGTGGAGGTGAGGAATATGAAGAAGGGAGCCCTCCACAGGTACCTGCTCCAGGATCTCAAGATTCCCCTGAACTACGAGATCAAGATTACGCCAATCACCATCTTCGGACTTGGAGACCCCGCCACGCGCATCATCCGATACACAGAGCGTAGGTACCATAGTGCCACTCCTTACTGTTGTTTTGTTGTTGTGCATATTGTGCACTTTTCGTCCTTGTACTAAATCCTCTCTTCTCATATGCAAGAAGCTCTCAGGCACTTTCGTTGACCACAGGTGCCTCAATATGGTGACATAAATCTGTGTTGGGATTAAAGGGTCATGTCACATAAAACTGATTGGACAACAATTCAACCAATTTGTGCTCACGTCTTCAAAGCTTTTATGGTTACATAATGGTGGGCGCCACAATTCCTACCTGGCCAAGTATCTACATCAGTCTTCAAATGAATCCCTGTGTAGAGATCCCTTGGATGGTTGGCCCAGGCTATACTTTGAGCCATGGCTTCTGCTCAAATAGATATTTAGCCTCATCCCCATCTGGTACTGAACTCAACTCCCTGTCATTCATCTGTCAAATGGCAGAGCCTCCACTGCCCAATGATGATCTGAATGAGAGGAGGTGGGGAGTTGCCTGTGTCTAGGATCCAAGGGGCTCCACAGGAACCAGAGGATCATTCGAAAGACTAACACAATCACTTGCACGCTGATCTACAGCTTGTTTTAGGAGATAGAATAGGTGTTAAAAGAGAACTATGGGCCAACCTTTTTTGGCCATAGTTCTCTGTAAGATCACAGGAGGACATATACTAATGTCCTCCTGTGACCCAAAACTCAGCATATAGTGGGCTATTCAGTGTCACACATATGCTCTAATTATGGGGAGTGTATTTCACTCTCCCCATAATTCTGCTTTGAATGTTAAGGCAGAGATTAAGGTAGGGCAGGATTAAGTGGTATGGTGTATTACAGTGTAAGGAATACATTAGAGGTTAGAAAAATACTGTGCAAATACACTATGTGCTCTACCCTGCATCAGTAGACTCGCACTAAAAACTACCAGCGCTAGACTCCTGGTGCCCAGAACAAATGCATCACTTCTGCCCTACTGCATGCACTTACTTGAATGGATCATTAGGAGATGGTGTCTTACGTGGATGATTTTGCAATGCCCAATAAAGGGCACCTACATCATGACATAATGGTACACCTAATAAGCTGTACATGGTGTCATGAGTTATAACTATTTTCACCTGGTCCTGGGGATTGATGGGTGACTTGCACTTTCATGACATTTGAAAGATACCTGTCCAAAACCGATACCTTTTTATTGCTGCTGAAATCCAGCATGTGAAATGGATCATCCACTAAATGGGCCATGGACTCATCACTTTCTGTAATGGGACCCAAATTATGTTCTTTATGGTTCTAGATTGGTTGTGCTTACTAAGCAGGGATCCTCGACTTGTCTGACTTTAGAACTCTAGTCCACCCTCTGTCACTCCGCTACCCAATGAGTCCCCTCATTAGCACATGACTAGAACTTGTCTATTTCAGGGACAGTTTGTGTCATGGACTCATCACTTCCAGTAAAGGGACCCAGATTGTCTTCTGTATGGCTCCACACTGGCTATACTAACTAAGCAGGGAGCCTCAACTTGTCTGACTTTAGAGCTCTGGTCCACCCTCTGTCATCCAGCTATCCAATGAGGTGCCTCATTAGCACATCACTAGAACTGGTAGAGATTTAGGAGGTTATTCACTAAAGGGTGAAGAGTTTGGAGAAGGCAGGAGAAGTGAACAGTCTAGGCCAAAATAGATGAATTCTCCAATTCATCTCACTTTCCAGTTCAGCTATGTTGTCCTAGATTGTTCACTTCTCCTGCCTTCGCCAAACTCTTCACCCTTTTGTGAATAGCCCCCTTAATGTCTATTTCAGGGACAGTTTGGGCCATGGACTCATCACTTCCTGTAACGGGACCCAAATTATCTTCTTTATGGCTCTAGATTGACTGTGACCACTAAGCAGGGAGCCCTTAACTTGTCTGACTTTAGAAACTCTGATCCACCCTTTGACATCCCATTATCCAATGAGGTGACTCATTAGCACATCACTAAAACTAGAGATTTAATGTCTATTTCATGGACCGTTTGGGCCATAGACTCATCACTTCAATTCATCACGACTTATCACTCCTGGAGTTGTCTGACTTTAGAACTCTGTCATACTGCTATCCAATGAAGGCCCATAATTCAAAGAACTGAAATCCAATGATGGAAAGGGCCAGGCCAGGGACAGCCAGGCTGGGGAGGATAGTGCTAGATGATTTTGGACTTCCCCAATCAGGAAATGAGGTGGGCTCTACCTGACTTGCTGCAGCTTCTAGTGCAATGAATTCAGAGTAAGCAATTTCAGTACAGGAGAGGAACCTGTACAACTGTGCAAGACTGAGGGTGGCAGTACGCCGCAGCTGATTATCCTGGGTATGGAAATACGCCCGCAATTTACGCTCTATGGCCTCATGTGCCCATGTGCATGAGGTCTTAGTCTTGTAACCTTTACAAATACTAAGTAAGTTTAAGCTTAATGCCAGAAAATGCATGCACTGGGGCATAATATAACTGCAACAACAGTTATCACTGATATAAAATGAACCGAGTACCGGGAGTAACAAAAATATGATCTTTTTATTGGAAAATGCAGAGGAGTGGAGGAACCAAAATACGGAGCACTCAGGATCATGTCACAGCTTCGGTCTTATAAAGGCCTGACCCCGGGTAGGCCGCCTTTGGGGCCTTGGCTGTTGTGGAATTGTTAGGTAGACCCGGCCTTGTAGTATCCTTCTCTATATGTAAACATGTCAAATCCCATAACTTTCCATTGGCTGACGTGGAGAGATTGCGGTCTAATATTTTCACCGCATTCCTGCTCCTTTTCCGAGTCGTTTCCCATCGATGTCTCCTGTGAGGGGACTTGGCTGGGCGGACGGCCTCAGACCAGTGACGCGTAATGCCTGAGAGATGGGGAGAGAGCATGTGTGCGGACTGGCCCCTCAGCCCACCTTATACTCCCTCTGAATCATGGCGTTGTGAATAATTGATACCTCTAAAATTAACCCCTTCCGGCCCTGATATATGCCCAGGGTTTGTTTACAGCCTTTGATAACCCAAGTGTTATGTCCGAGTAGATCAGAAATAAAATATTCATATATAGACACCAATAAAATGAAGAAAATGATCTCAACTGAGTAAAGAAAATCATTGTGAGGAGAAGTAAAAGCGTCATTTATATGACCAGACTAAAGTCAGAGCCCCGAAGGAGCTTACACTCTAATGTCCCCACACAGTTATAGACTATTATTATTATTATACATTCATATAGCTCTGACATATTCCGTAGTGCTGTACAGAGAACACTGAGACAATCACATGAATCTCTACCCCAGAGTAGCTTACACTCTAATGTCCCCCCACAGTCACACACTGTTATTATACATTTAAATAGCTCTGACATACTCCGTGGCGCTGTACAGAGAACACTGAGCCAGTCACATCAGTCTCTGCACCATAGGAGCTTACACTCTAATGTCCCCCCACAGTCACATCAGTCTCTGCACCATAGGAGCTTACACTCTAATGTCCCCCCACAGTCACACACTATTATTATACATTTATATATCTCTGACATATTCTGTGGCGTTGTACAGAGAACGCTGATCTGGTCACATCAGTCTCTGCACCATAGGAGCTTACACTCTAATGTCCCCCCACAGTCACACACTGTTATTATACATTTAAATAGCTCTGACATACTCCGTGGCGCTGTACAGAGAACACTGAGCCAGTCACATCAGTCTCTGCACTGCAGAAGCTTACACTCTAAAGTCCTCCCACAGTCACACACTATTATTATATGATTATATATCTCTTGACATATTCCACAGTGCTGTACAAGGAAAACTGAGCCATTAACATCCATCTTTGCACCAGTGGAGCTTACACTCTAATGTCCCTAGCATTAGGGACACTTTTGAGCTGAAGCTGACAACTGTACCATTTGTTATTGAATTCTTGTCCTGAAACAGCTGTACCGCACAAACATGAGGACACAAAACCTCCTGGTGGGTGTTGAAGCCAAGACGCCAGTGGTATTGCATGCTTGCCATGAACCTAAACTGTGAATATAATCAGAATTAATGAGAGATGGCCTTCAGTGGAGTGTTTTACATCATGCGTGAATGTTTTAGACTTTTCGGATACTGGTTGCTATGGTAACCGTGGAGAGTTTGATGAAGAAGCTGCCCATCTTTGTTTTCAAACAAGCGACCCTGGGTGAGATCCTGGTGTTTTTCCCTCCCCATTTCACACCGGTATATAATCTGCACCCGGCCCTGCGCGGCCTAGCGGTGAGGAAGCCTAGCCTGCCAATGTTCGCAGCTTTCTCCATGTTAATGCAGATTTAGTGCCTGCATTACCCATCCAAGGAGAGACAGAAATCTCCTCTCTCAGCACCGGGCTGTCCAAGGCCTGTTTGTTTCTTATCACAGGACAATAAAATCTTTTTTATGTCTCTCATATTGCCGAGGCTTGGCAGTGCTCCGTTAGATTTAGGTCTTTCCTCGTGACTCTCGGCCTGCAGTCCCAGCACTTTTATGTCCCCGCCGTGACCCTGCAAAAGTTATTTTGGGGCAGAGAAGTATTTGGAATAAGGACCGTGTCTCAAGGGCTTGTCTCAGAGATTCCTCTCTGCTGCAGACCTCTTTTGTAGCAGATCACTGTAGTCATTGGCGATTTGTGGCTAGGAAGGAACTTGTCGCGGCCCTGGGGTAAAGTGGCGCTAACCCGCTAGGTCGGCGTGCTCTGCTACAAATCGTAGAAAGCCATAGAAGTGAACGCAGAGAGATTGTTAATGGCGAGCACAAAATGCTGCTCAAACTGGGATTAAAATTAGTAATTTAGCAACTCTATAAAAAATGGACCAACACGAATAAATAGCCAGTCTCACATGGCCTTAAAGTGGAACTTCAACCTGCTATCCTTTACAGCCAAGGAAGGCGCCATCTTGGCCTCTTTTTGGATTGCAGTTGCCATGGTGCTGCACATGTGATCAGCTACAGCCATTTGAGGGTTTGAAAGTTCAGTTGAGAACTGAAATAAGCCCACTGGCAACCTTGACAATTGGCATGCCTTGAAAGTAACTGTTTTGGGAGATCAGGGAATTGGTGGGTCTAGTTCCACTTTAAGTATTCAGTATAACCTTTTGAACTATGGACAGTCCCTCCGACACACAGATATACCATGTATGAAGAATCACATGACCCACCGGCAGCACATGTCAAACCCCCCACCCCAATGAAGAATCACATGACCGCCGGCAGCACATGTGAAACCCTAAACGCCCAATGACACACAAACATCCCTCCTCACACTGGCATGCTACCTACTGAGCCACCTCACCGGCAGAAATGGGGATTGTTGATAATTTTATTAATAAGATACAGATAATAAGATTGTTTGTTTGTTTTTTTCACAAAAAAGATGGTAACCTTAGATGGGCTTGGCATGCACATGGGTGCGGGATGGGGGAATGTATGGGTTAGATGTTGGAGAAATTGGGTGCTGGACGAGATACACATTCTACAAAGTAACTAGATAGTTAATACAAAATATTTACACAATACAAACAAGTCGCAATAAATACACATTTTATGTTTGATTTTTTGTCGGCAGCTTAAAATCTTTTCCTCTGATCATTTCTTATTTCAAATTTCTTTCCAATTTTCTGATACGAAACATGTTATAATTAATATTTTCTCTATTGTTATTATTGTCAACGTCTTTTCTTTTCTTTAGTTCTATAACTGCAAACAAATACTAAAGCATATATCATATTATCTTCCAGCTATCAATTACCCAAACCCAACCGGTAAGTATTGCACCAGTGTAGCTAACCATCACCGTTAGTCACTGCCATCCCTATTCTAAAAAGTATTTAGCGATCAGACTGCCATCACCTTCAATACCTTCATCCTCCGCAATCTGCATTCCATTATCTGTCTAATGGAATCAATGTCTATCACATCTAGTCAATGCCATCACCTCCATCCACTGCCATCTGCCTTCCATATTGTATTTAGTGTACCCAACTGCCATCACCTCCATCCACTGCCATCTGCCTTCCATATTGTATCTACAGGGCTATTCACTAAAGGGAGAAGAGTTTGGAGAAGGCAGGAGAAGTGATCAATCTAGGACAACATAGCTGAACTGGAAAGTGAGCTGAATTGGAGAATTTTTTCCTAATCAGCTATTTTGTCCTAGATTGTCCACTTCTCCTGCCTTCCCCAAACTCTTCATCCTTTAGCCCTCATTCACACGACTAACAGCCGGCCCGTACAGATCCGTGCTGCTTGCTCGGATCCTGTTTGCGTCCGAGCAGGGACACCCACACGGACGTGCAGTTCGGGTGAGCGTACGGCCGCTTACTCCCACAGAGAAGAACAGACTGTACAGGCCGGCTGTTAGTCATGTGAATGAGGGCTTAGTGAATAAACCCGCTAGTGTGCCAAGCTGCCATCTCTATCCGCCACCTTCTCCCTTCCATATACTCTATATCTAGTGTACCCAACTGTGATCACCTCCATCGGTTGCTATCTCCCTTCCCTGTTGTATGTATTGTACCCAACTATCATCACCTCCATCCACTGCCTTCCCTATCTAGTGTACTCAACTATCATCACCTCCATTCACTGCCTTCTGCCTTCCCTATCTAGTGTACTAAACTTTCATCACCTCCATTCACTGCCTTCTGCCTTCCCTATCTAGTGTACTAAACTTCCATCACCTCCATCCACTGCCTTCTGCCTTCCCTATCTAGTGTACTCAACTATCATCACCTCCATTCACTGCCTTCCCTATTTTATCTAGGTTACCCAACTTGCATCACCTCCATCCACTGCCATTTATGTTCCTTTTAGTATCTAGTGTACCCAACGGCCATCACCTCCATCCACTGCCATTTCGGTTACTTATTAGGGTCAACTCACAAGGAAGCTTATGCTATGTTTGGCGATTCCTGTGGCAAGACCCTATGGATATTTGTTGCAGGAATCCCAAGTGTTTTTTTTTTCAAGTTAATGACAAGGTGAGAGTGGCCATTACCTCCATCCACCACCATCTCCCTTCCCCATTGTATCTAGGGTACCCAGATGCCATCACCTCCATCCACTGACATTTCTGTTCCTCACTGTATCTAATGTGCCCAACTGCCATCACTTCCATCCACTGCCATCTGCCTTCCATCCACTTTAATTTCCTTTCACAATTGTATCTATGGTACACAACTACTTTAACCTCCAGCCACTGCCCTCTGCTATCCCCATTGTATCTAGTGTGCCAAACTGCCATTACCTCCTTCCAACACCATCTCCTTTCCCTATTATATTTATGGTACCCGCCTGCCATCACCTCAGTCCACTGCCATTTCTGCTCCTTATTGTAGCTGGTGTACCCAACTGTCATCATCTCCATCCACTGCCTTTTCTGTTCCTTATTAGGCCCAATTCCCACGGGGGCTTATGCTGCGTTCGGGGATTTCTATGGATTCTTGCTACAGAAAATGTTGGTTATATGTTTAGATGAAGCACTGAGATCCTGAGGAATGCTGAATTACATTTTACTTAGAAGAATATTACATCTGAATACAGCATTGTGCAGGAAATAACAGCATATGCTGCCGTATTTTCAACAGGAATCCCAGGTGTGCCTATTCAATTTAATGACTTGAGGGTATACCATTACCTGTGGTTTGGGATAGATGATCTATCCTGTGTCCAGGGACATTCATCTGTCCCGAACCGCATGCAAATCGTACCAAGTACAATTACATGTGACCATGTACAATTACATGTGGAATACCTCAGCTCCTCCAGTTATGCCAATATCATCTAGTAAAGCTGTCTCACACTGTAAATGAAAACTGATGAAAAAACACCTAAGCAGGGATTACTTTCAAGGAAAATGGCAAAATAATAACAACTATTATATCCAGACATATAAGCAGCTGGATTTAAATCCAAACCTTGACAGGTTAAGCTTAGTCTTAGTCTAAGAGCTCCAACTGCAATAAAATATAAGTGGTTTAGGAGGTGAGAGGCGGCAGGGCAAAATCCAGCCTCTCTGCAAATATAACAACCAAAATTCCAGAAATATTAAACACAAGAAGGAGATTTCCTCATATAACTGTAGTATCCCATAGCATCCAATCAGAATTCACTGCTGAAGCCAGACCAGTAAAAGGTGGATTCTGATTGATCGCCATGGGTTCCCGCACTCACGAATAAACTCTTTAGAATTAAATCCCTCATTTGCTGTATGATCTGCCGTGTGTTATTTAATTTTTTATTGTATTGCAAACTAATTTGAGGTTTTGAGATGATGTGAAGGGAAACGAAGCTGAACTACAACAATGCTTTTTAAAACAATGAGTGGCAGAAACATTGAAATGTAACTTGTGCACATGCCACAACTAATTATATATCGGTGAAATGTCAGGAGCCGTGTAGGGGTGATGAGCAGAAATGCTGCCATTTAATAGTAAATCACATTATTGATTTTATGGTGTCTTGGGGGATGTGTGGGAAGAAAACACCTTTTCTGAAATGCACATTTTCTATTTGATCCACAAATTCTAAATATTTCACACTTTCCGTCTTTCATCTATTTTTAATCTTGACACAAAAGCAGCACAGTCTGTAGCTCTGTAATGGTAGTTTCCTCTCCGTGTCGAATGCCACATCTATACCGATGACATTCATTACTTCACAACTTCACAGGGTGTGTGGAAGTCGGCACTAGAGACACAGAACAGGGTAAAGGCAACTAAAGGGCAACGCTATTCAGTTATAAACACTTAAGATACATATACGCTATATGGCCAAATGTTTGTAGACACCTGATCATCACACCTATATGAACCTATATGTCCAAAACCATGGGCATTAATATGGAGTTGGGTCTTCCTTTGTGGTATAACAGTCTCCACTCATTTGGGAAGGCTTTCCACATGATGTTGTAGTGTTTCTATGGGTATCTGCACCCATTCAGCCAACACACATTCGACAACACGGATGTTGGATGAGAAGACCTGGCTCACAATCTAAGTTCCAATTTATCTCAGGTGTTCAGTAAGGTTGAGGTCAGGGCTTTGTGCAGGCCACTCTGGATCCTCCACACCAAACTAGTCACATCATGTCCAGTGATGTGTGTGGGCTTGGTCTGAACTGGGGCATTTCTCGCCCCTTTGTTAAAGTGACATTAAACCCTCAGATTTTTTTAACATAAACCAATACTGTAATGTGCGCCTTACTGTAATTCATGGTAGTTTCCCTTCTCTTTGCTGCTCTTCCTTTTAAATCTGTATCTTTTCTCATGCTGGGGGAGAACTTCCCTTTGCAGCTGAGTGCCTCTTCCTGTAGTGCTGGCTCAGGTTGTGAACCTGCACACAGACACCATGTATCCATTGCAAAACAGAAGTTCTGCCCAGCATGAGAACAGATACAGATTTAAAAGGAAGAGCAGCAAAGAGAAGGGAAACAACCATGGATTACAGTAAGGCGCACATTACAGTATGGTTTTATGTTAAAAAATCTGAGGGTTTAATGCAACTTTAAGTGTAGTTCGGGGATGGGGAATGCCCCAGCTGCAACTGATAGGGCTGGGAGGGGGTTGTCATTGACAGTTTTGTGTGGGCTTGGCCGAAGTAGAGCAAACCTTTAATAGTAAAGTTTCGGATGGAATTCAGACCAATGTTGATCTAACAGGAAATTGGTGGCGAGATACTTTGCCAGTTCATAGTGTATGTGTCATTTGAATAATTTTGAGCATAAAGGGAAGGTGAAGGGTGGTAGCTGAAGAAGGCAGATGTGGTCTTAAGAGGGTATTTTAAGTGCTGGTGTTATAACTGCATGTCTGAATAAGGAATGGACAATATCAATGTAAAAAAAAAAAATGAAGAATGAGAGAGATGTGGTGATGCGAAAGACTTGGATGAAGAGAGGAGGTGATAAGACGTGGCCTGGAAGTGAGGGGCACCAACCAGGGATGTAAAGCTTCTTAGAGAGGAGGCCAAAGGGTTTGACCTGACACACAGGGCCGTAAAGTTGTTTCATATGTTGCCTATTTTCTTAATGAATTATGGGTTACTATTCATTGTTAAGCCTCAGGAAATAGTCAGGAAGGTGAAGTAGGTAGCAGAGGGTAGTGAACTGATGTTCTGGGAAAAGCAGCTTTGGGTTGCAGGATTTTGTAGATACAGTATGAGAAACAAGATGTATAATTGCCTGGCAGATGAGAGAGGATTGCTTTGCTTATGCAGTGCCTGTTTGCGGACTTTATAACATGCTGTGTGCTGCTATTGGTTATTTCCGTTTCTGTTATGTTCCTTTGCTGCTATGAGGATTCAGTAAAGAGAGTTATGCAAAATATGAAGCCTCCTGTCTTGCCATAAAATCCCCTTTATGATTGCTTTTTATGCACCGCGTTAATGGCTGAGGTGACCATGTTGATGTAGTGAATAGTTGTTGTCTTAGTGTCCATGAAAAAGGGACATAGTAAGAGGAGGCTTCTGAGAGTGAGGGATTGGAGGCTAATACACATGACAGGGTAAGGCACAGCCGTCCTATGAATAGCTTTGAATTTAAGTCTGCAGCCATGCAGAGCCATTAGCATCTGCAGCTGCTTGTAATTGAGCAAATAGGCCAGAGAGATCTGACATTTTCTAAATAATTTTTGTGGATAAGGAAAGCTGCAGAAGTGAACTGACCTTGTGCTGACTCCCAACTGCCTGGATCACCCCTCCTCCTGCTCTAACCACCCTGGATGCTCCTCCTGGACCACTTGACCCAGCCAATCACGGTAAGTGACACC